CCCCCCCCCCCCCCCAAAAAAAAATGGCTGAGTCATATAAAACGGTATACTTTACCCAACATATAATCACACACCACATACATTGTCACATTTAAGTGTTCATAGAATCGACGAACCAACAATAATTATGCTACTACTAGGAGCCAACCATGCATAACGTCAAGCAATTTTTTGGCAGAATTTTTAACCCCACTTCATTTTAAAAAAAAAAAAACACACAAAACAATCCTGAATTCTTTATTTTAAATCAGTTCATAGTTATGTTATTTTAGGGGCCATCCATAAATGACGTCCCATTTTTGACCCTTCTCCCCCCCCCCCTCAAATATAACGTCACAAATCTCTACATCCCCCTCCCCCACCCCCCACCCCAATCAAAAGTCTCTGTGTCCACTACTGTCCTTTACAAAACCCTTAAGAAATTCACCTCCCATGGATATCAAATCACTGCACCCGTGTCAGAAATATTTCACTAGATCAGTGTTTAAGACCAGGGGTGCAAGTACCTCCCCAACCTTGAGCTGTGAAAGATCAAAAAATTGAATTCAGTGGCGTAGCTAGGGGATGCGGATCGCACCGGTCAACACCATCTCAGGGGGTGACACCATCTCAGGGGGTGACACCATCTCAGGGGGTGACACCATCTCAGGGGGTGACACCATCTCAGGGGGTGACACCATCTCAGGGGGTGACACCATCTCAGGGGGCGACACCACATTGAAAGATAGCGTACTTATAGAGCACACACACTGATCGGTCTAACCGAAATTCATAAAAGGATACCAGATGTCACGTACATTTTCCATCCATGTAACCACTCAAAATGCGTATCTCGTTAATATTAAAATTTCAAGGCTGATGCTCCATCCCACATCCCGTGTCCAGATTTAGCCACAAATTCTCACGACTGTCATTGAAACTGCCACATTCCGATTCTCCTACTACTGGGCGTCCTGTAACTTGATCAGAGGTCATTCTTCGGAACTCGCATTCCTACTGTAACGATTCTCTCAGTGATAGTGTTTTAAAATAAAATAATAATAATTTTTTTTTTTTTTTAAAACAATTTTAAAAATGTCTGTAATTTGGTGTTATTAAGTGAAATTCTTTACTACAACATTCTGCTTTTCAAGTGACGTCACATGGCTTGAGTCCCCCCTCATTTTTTTTTTTTTTAAAACAATTTTAAAAATGTCTGTAATTTGGTGTTATTAAGTGAAATTCTTTACTACAACATTCTGCTTTTCAAGTGACGTCCCATGGCTTGAGTCCCCCCCCCCCCTCGTCACACATCGTCAAAAAAATCTGACCCCCTCCTCCCCCCCCCCCGAGACGCGTGACGTCATTTATGGATGGCCCCTTATGTAAAATGTGTCGTC